CGAAAACTCTCTCCAGACATGACACGTTTAAGATTGTCAACGCAGGTGAAGATAGAGTGGTGGGGTGTAGCTTCCAAAGTCGAGCTCGCCGGAAGCTTCAATGGCTGGCAGCACTTTTTCGTGCTGGAGCCCGATCTTTCGTCCGAGATCGTCAAACCAGACGGATCAAGGTGAATGCATCACTGTCGGCTTGTTTCTCTTTTGCTAAACTCCATGGTTTTTTTTCTAGAGGTCCGTTGTTGTGGGAGACCGAGCTATGGCTTTATCCTGGCGTGTACGAGGTAACGAGTTTCGAAAGTTCTCTTCGATCGATCATGGCTGATTAAAAAAAAACGTTTTCTTTCTTCTTTGGCCCAGATGAAGTTCGTCGTAGATGGCGAATGGCAAATAGATCATAGGCGAGAAGTATCGATGAAAAGCATGAACCAAAACAATATCCTCCGCGTGGAGCTGTGAAACATAGAATGGCGTGGAATATTCGCCGGCATTGACGCAGTCCGGCGGCATTCACATATAATGGGAAAAAACTAGGGCGGCTGTGATTCAATCGATCGATCGATCGAGGAAGCGCGAGAGGGAATGGCGGCGGGCGTGCAAGGGCAGCTCCTCGATATCAATGGTGAGTGGAATTCCAGATCTTGGCGCCCTGTCGGTGGCACTGTCGCTCCCATTTTCTATTTCTCTTTGGTGGGAGCGAATTTCCTGGAGTGATTCGGCTAAGAATCTTCTTTGTGTGTCTTGGCAGTTCTAGGATGCAGGAATTTGAGAGACAAGGAATGGCTGTCGAGGCAGGATCCATACGTTGTGATCACTTATGCCAGTAGCAAATTGAGGACAAAGACCGACACAGGTAAGGAGCTGCTTGCTTGATCACGAGCTAAGAAAATTTCTCGTTTGCCTGTTTGTTTGTTGTGCTCCTTGAGTTTTTCGGTCATTTCGATCATACGCTCATGATCACTTTTTTTTTTCTTTTTGGGTTTGCTGTGCTTGATCACTTGTTTGCTAGAAAAATGTTTTCTTCCATTTTCTTGATCATAAGCTCATGATCACTGTAGCTAGCTTTTTACTTGATCACGAGCTAAGAGACTTTCTTTTCCGCAGATGGAGGAAGAAATCCGTCCTTCAACCAGAAGTTTGTGCTGCCTCTCATCGAGGGGCTCCGTGAGATAAACGCGGAGGTGTGGAACAGCAACACGCTTACATTCGATGACTTCATTGGCTCTGGAAGGTGCGTTGTGCGATTTTTGTAGCTTGCGTTTCCTCGTGGACGTCATGCCTGACGCGGCCCTCGTAAATTTTTTTCTAGGATACTGCTGGACAAAGCTCTCACCACGGGCTATGATGATTCAACGTGGAACCTGACATCAAAGAGTGGAAGGTATCAAAAATCGAGAAGAAACAGGAGAGTCTAAAGCTTACATTTGATCTTTCTTTTCGCAGATATGCCGGAGAACTGCGGGTCATTCTACACTTTACGAAAACGGTAAGCTTTAGACTTGATACTTTCAACACTGTTTTTCTTACTTGGGATCTTCTTTCCAGCCAAAACCAGTAGCTCCGATGGTCTCGTCTCCATATGCAGCGCAGCTATACTCCACGGCTCCACAGCCTTATCCGTACGCTGCTCCACCAC